CCCCCCCCCCCCCTGAAGAGGCGTGATTACTAAGTCTGGGTGAAACTGGGAGCATGACCCGGTCAGTAGTCGGGGTCGGTTAAAACCCGGCTGATCTGAGCTTTACCCAAACGTAACAATCCTCACTGTGATACTTTGACCTTCACCTGTTTCTCAAAGCTGTTAAATGGATCCTGTAAACGAATTTCACGTTAGCTTCAATCCTCCAAACCAACAAAGTTCAGCTGTTAGTTTGCGACAGTTTATCTATCAGATGCATCGCTGTCAAACTTTGGCTTACAGGCTACCATACAGGCGCTAGTGAGCTAGCTGAGCTGCGCTGACAATGTTAAAAAACGTTAATTACGTTACGTTAAAGTTTGTGGCTTCTCCACTACCAACTAAAACGATCAAAAGCTGGTTTAGTGGTCGTCGAGGTCTAACGTTACTTTGGCTCAAATCAGCTGTCCGAGTGTAGCAAGGCTAACCAGCCTGCTAACACATTAGCATCAAACAGAGCTAGGTAAACGTCGTATCCCGAACAAACTGTTTAAGTTTGGTCAATGGCAAGCACCCGACTTGTCCTACAGAAAGTCAGAAAACACGACAATGACCCGTTTTCGAGATTAAGCGGTAATTTCAAGTGGAAAACACTCACCTTAAAAGTTGAATCAACAGCAGCTGCCCTCTCGTGCAGCTAGCCGGCTGCCACTAGTCAGTATGGCGGAGAGGAGCTTCATGCGCGTCACTGTTGCCCTCACTGCGCTATTATTATGACGGTACACTTTACTGGGGTTGGGGGTGAGGCAGAATATGCACATTATAAACTAATGGAGTCATTGTGGAAAACCCCCCATTGTTTGCACTTTACATCACTAGTCACGTCCTCACAGGTGACAAAACCAGTCTGTCCTCTTTTGACTCTGCATTAACCAGACCTAAACTGAAGCAGGTATCATCATAGTTTCAGTCTCTAAGGAGCCTAACATCACTGTCTGGCTCAAATTCTGAATATCATATGATTCTTTTGTTGGTCGTTAGTTAATTTTTACACTAGCATAAATTTGCCATTCCTTTGTTTAGTCACCATTTATCATTTGACAAACTGGAAAACTATGACATAAGCGAGAGAAACTCCTCACCCTACCTGTTTTACCAGTCCCACCCTGAGCCAAGCCCGCCTCTGTTTTTAAGCAGCATGTGATTCATGTGAACTGGCATTTCAACCATACCATCCTAGGCTGTCTTTGCTTTAATCTGTAGGTTGTGTAACCCATTCAAACAGGGCACCTTGTGGTTCATCCAGGTCTGATCTCCAAGAACTCTAGCTCATCCTTCTCCGTTCCACGCCGCTCCATATGGCCTCAGCCTGGTCTGCAGAGGAGACCTTTGTCTGCTCAGTATGCCTGGACACCCTGACGGACCCCGCCACTCTGCCCTGTGGACATTCATACTGCTTGGCTTGTATCAAGAGCCACTGGGACAAGGCAGACAGCAAGGGTCAGTACAGCTGCCCCCAGTGTAGGCAGGTCTTTAGCCCTCGACCTTCGCTGGCCAAGAGCACTGTGCTAGTAGAGGCTATGGAGAAACTGAGAACCAACAGCCTCAAGCAAAGCTCCTCCACAGCTGTCTCCTCTGCCTCACCTACGATGCCAGTCTACCTGGAGGTCTTACCAGATACAGGGCCACAGCGACAGGGCAGCATATACCCTCAGCTCCCCACAGTGGACTACAGACCCTGCCCTCAACACAACCGTCCCCTGGACCTGTTTTGCCGTGAAGACAAGGAGTGTGTGTGTGAGGTGTGTTGCCAGCATGGACACAAGGGGCACCGTGTGCTCAGACCGCAGGAAGAGAGGAGGGAGAGACAGGTATGTAATGGACAGGGCAAAAATCCCCAGGATAATATTATTAGTGCTCTTTTGTAGTTTTTTTCCTCTGGTGTTGGTCTTGGTGTGTGAGGTGCAGGTGAATCAAGTACTGGGTTTTCAAAAATGTAGCCTTTCCAAAATGTAGCGGAACTTGAAGTACTTGTAAAACAACTGTCTTTACTGTGTATTCCTGTCATATGTGTGGAAATGTAAACTGTGTGTGTGTGGCCTCTTTTCCATAATAAACCATGGATGATGTATGTGTGTGTGTGTGTTTCTAGAAAGAGCTTGTTCAGATGCAGGCAGATGTACAGAAGAGAATCAAAGACACTGAAAAGAAGCTTAATGAGATCCCACATGTTGCTCGCCAACACAAGGTAACAGTTATGATTGTATGATGTCTTCCTTGTAGTTCTGTTTATAACATTGTTTACATTCTTTGCACTCTCTTTTCTTAATTTCCTCATCCCTGATCTTACTTGATCCTTCTCTTCCTCTCTGTGCACAGGCCTTGGTACAGGCTTTACAGCAAGAGACCACAGACGTATTCTCGGATCTTGTCAAGAACGTGAACCTAACAGGTTCCGAGGTTGGTGAGCTCCTCGGCAGCCATGAGAACTCCTTAGGCAGCCAGGTTGAGGGGCAGATCAACGGACTAGAGCAGGAGGTGGCACAGCTGCGCTGGAAGAGTGCAGAGCTGAGCAGGCTGGCTGACATGCAGGACCACATCTGCTTCCTGAAGGTAATTTTTGTGAGGCAGGGTTTGGCTGGAGATGGATTTCATTTGAATTTCACTGGATAAATAAAGTTCAGCATCATAAAATGAGAGAGGCTGTTTTTAATTTTACAACTTTCTGTCATCTGTTCTCAAGAATTTCCTCATCATGGAGCCACTGGGCCAGACGGGTGCCACAGGAGAGTCAGTACTGAGTCAGGAAGCGGTAGTAGCCTCCATCCGCTCTGCCACGAAAGAACTACAAAAGTCAATACAGGACCTCTGCAAAGCCGGCCTGGCCAAGATCATCACAATACGTCAGTATTCCTCTTCTCTACTCTTTTGTCTTTTCTTCTATTCTTTTCTCTTCTTCAAGCAGTCAAAACTTTCCATTTATTTGTAGTGAATCAAGACCCTGCAGCTCCAACACCCAATGGTGTAGCAGCAGAAAGCACTACAGCAGCCAATAACAGTGGTCAGGACACTACACAAAACACAGGTACGTGGACGTGTAAATCAGTGCAACAGCACAGAATTCAAGCTAAAAACACCTTTACTTTGACTCTTAGTCATAGAAGGGACACCTTTATATGTGTTTCTCACAGCTCATCCACTCTTTTCTATAGTGTATGAGATGACGACAGACCCTCCACCTCTGCCACCTCCACGACTTCAAGGTTAGTTACACAGGTCTCAGTTCAACATTCAAGTACTACAGGAAAGCTGTCTTCTTAAAATATTTCCATTGCTAACATCATACTTAACAAAAAAACATGCAAATAGCGGGTTCTATACATTTCTATATGCTCTTTGTTGTTCGCAGCATCAGCAAATGAAGGCCTGAAACCTGCTGTCTTCTTATCAACCCTTGCATCTATTTGCAGGCACCTTTGACCTTTGCAATTATTTTGCGCCAAATGAAATAGATTTTTTTAAAGTAGAATTGTGTTTTTACTGTACACTTTTCCAAACTTTGAACTGGTACTGTACTTTAATTGTATATGAAGGGGAAACAGCAGGGATAGAAAAAACTAATAATAAAAGAAAAATCTGCAGTCTGGATAATTTTATATTTTTGATGTCGCAGGTCAGAGGGAGGGGGATAGAGGGCTCATTTGGCCCCTGGACCGGCACATTGAGATCCTTGCTTTAGAAACTTCATATCTTGCATGTCTGTGGCTCATAAAACAAATGCTCTTGGACCTGAAAATGTCCCTGAGTTCATATTTTGCTTCATCTGTTCATTCTTTATTCCCCCAGGCCACGAGGATTCATTCAAGTCTCCACCTCTACATCCTGCGTGTCTTACAGGTAAAAATAAGAACGCCTGCTACAGTGCTTTTAAAGGTTTCACTAAGGATGTTAGATGTCACTGAGTGGAGATTTCATTTGGTTTACCTCTTTCCCTTGTGTCTTCTCTCCCTATCTCTCTGGACATGAAGCTTCAGCCCCCCCTCCACCCTTCCCTCCTCCCCAACCTCAAGGTGAATACAAAAGCATTAGACACTGCCTGCACATATCAATCAACTACTTCTCCCTCATAGCAGTGGAAGTGTGGCGTAGACAACTTTTGACCCCTTATTTGATATATATTCATTTTTGTTTTTTCCTCTCAGCACCTCCCATAACAACAATGGGACCTGTTAAAATGGAACCAGAGACAAGAGAAGAGTTGCTGAAATGTGAGTTCATCATACTTCACAGTATGATACAGAATATAGAACACAGTGTCAAAGTCTTCACTAAAATGCATCCTCTCCTTTCAGTTCACTTCGAACCCACCATGGATCCCAACACGGTGTATCGGCATGTGCAGCTGTCAGATGGAGGTCATAAGGCCACGATGCGGGCTGAGAACCTAAACCCTCCTGACCACCCTGAACGCTTCCACTTCTGGAGGCAGGTTCTGTGCAGAGAGCCTCTGGCAGGGAGCCCTTACTACTGGGAGGTGGAGTGGACTGGCCAGAAGGTGGGTCTGTAGACGTCAGTGGGGAGATGGGTGGTTTCAGCTAGACATATGCGTAATACAATACATTAATGGAAATCACTGCTAAATTCGCCTGAATTTTATGTAAACTCCAAGAACCAAATCTGTCCGCATCTTTGGGTTCAGGGTCGTGTTAGTCCAACTTATAGCTTAGTGGCATGTCTAAAACTTTTCTCGAGCCACAGAAGGTGACCACTTTATATTTGAGAGCAAAATAGAAACAATAATAAGTCTTTCCAAAGAAAGCTAGACTCCTATATTATATTTCTCATCCCTTTGCTAACCATGAATATAAAAATGCTCATTGTTTTTTTGTTTTTTTTTTACAGATTTTCCCTAAATCCCTAAATATACCCAGATTTTAAAAGAAACAGATCAATTTCAGCTGATTCTGATCTCGATTTTATGTCCTCACACTCCCCAAAACGCATTTTCTGCAGCAAGAGGTCACTGGTCATCTCGTTGTTTACAGTAAGACAGGTCCTTATGTGAGGAGCACAACTCAGAAAATCCATATGAAGTTAAAGGAAAAATGTAAATGAGTTGATTATGACTGATTATGATACATTTGGAAGTTCAGTACAGACATTCATGGTTTCCAAATTATGAATCCAAATGACTTTGACAATCCCCTGACTTTTTGTCTAGCACATCATGAGGTTTATATAATATATTATTATACTGTGATAACTATAAAGATCCTGTAGGCTCTTAATCTTGTTAAATAAATACTAAAAATAATAGGCCCTACATATAAACCACCATAAAAACCATGGGCTGACGTCCCTTTAAATGTTATTTTTACAGTTACCCATCATGGCCATTTGCAGCCACTTGGATTAGTTTCCTTTCTTAATAGGTTTTTTCCCTGTCCCATCACGCAGATCACCATCGGCGTGGCCTACAAGGAGATGGAACGTAAAGGTTCTGATGACAAAAGCCGTTTGGGCCACAATGCTCTGTCCTGGAGCTTGTACTGGTCGGGGACTGGCTTCTCCTTCTGGCACGATGGCCAGGAAAAACCTCTAGGTGCATCTAAGACCCGGCGGATCGGCGTCTATCTGGACCAGCATGCAGGGATTCTGGCCTTTTACCGCATCGCCAACAACCAGGCCCATCTTATTCACCGGCACGAGACCCAGTTCACTGGCCCACTGTACCCAGGGATCAGGTTTTGGGCAGGAGTAGGGGCAACAGTTACT